GTGTGTGTGTGTGTGTGTGTGAGTGTGTGTGTGTGTGTATGTGAATGTGTGTATGTGAGAACCTACGTTGTCAATATTAGTGTTATTTGAGAATGGCTTATAGCCATATCTCTCACCTACCGTGTACACGTTAAGTCATACACAGAGGCTGGAACTTACCTTGTCAATATGACTGTTGTTGGAGAAGGGTTTATGGCCACATCTTTCATCCACTGAGTGCACGTATACTCTGTCGTGGATGTATCTGCTTTTGTCCAGTTTGCAACAAGTCTTGGGGACCTAGGAAAAGATTACCGTGTGAACGCAGACTTCTGTTTGTAACATTATATTCTAATTCAGTATGGAGCGTGTCATCGGCGGCCTAGTGGTTAGGCTACCGGACCAGTAATCGAGAGGTTACAGGTTCGGGGGTTCGAATGTCAGCTCGGCCCGACGTTGTGTCTTTGGGAAAGTCACCTGACACTAATTTCCCGTTTGGCTCGGGATACATTCGTCCCATGCATGTGCAAACAATATTTTTATTTGTGGCATCCTGATGAAACTAGCTGGTCGTAAAAAAACAACAACAACAAAAAACAACAAACGAACAAACAGACAAACAAACAACATTAAATTGGATAAAAATTGCTTAACAGACGGAATTCAGTTCCTTCGTTTTCATTGTTTTGACAAGTACGTGATCTCACAACAAGGTCACAGATGGAAGGCAAATCCTAATTTTATATAAAGAAACTAAGCTATTCACTATAAATGTTTCATGACGTATTCATTGGCTAAGGTAAGCACATAATGACGCAAGAGAATAGAAGAGAATAGGAGAGAAGAGAAGAAAAGATAAAGAGAAGATGAAGAGAAGACACAGATAAAAAGAAGACAAAGACAAGACAAGCCAAGAAAAGAAAATATGAGACAAGACAAGACAAGACAAGACAAATTAACTCTTTATTACCCGTACAGGAAAGTTTCTGTGAATGTACGGGAATGTAAAACACATGTACATTGAACTGAACTTAAAGGCACCCAGTGTCAAACAGTGCAACGTCTCCAACTAGGAATCGATATTTCTTCATTCAAAGTACCATGCTTAGAAGCCTAGAAAAAAAAAAGAAAGAAAGAAAAAAAAAAGAAAGAAAGAAAGAAAGAATGCTAAGATGATCACTCTTTCTGTCGGCTTCAGTATACAACCTCTGCCTCCCGTCGTCTCTCATATAACGGAATTAACTTTCACCTCTAACCTAACTCTGTTTTAGGAACACCGCCTGTCTGTAGTGAAACAGTTAGTCGCTTCGATGTCACACGCAGGAGACCCGAGTTCGATTTCAGAATGGGGAGAAAATTTTATTCGAGTATATATCGGTCTTTCGGCTGGGATGTTGTATCCCTCTCAGCCCGGGTTGGCTCTGAGAAGCAGTGTCTGAAGCCTGCCTCCTAAATGATATGAATTGGGTCAGTATGGTAGCAAAAACCCTTACACCGAAAAAGGAACACCTTGTTTCTTTTCGTGCAAGGAGAAAAATCATTTTCATTATCTAAATCCATGTATTTACGAAGGCACACATCTTTCCAGCTAAAGTAATTGTACATACAACCCCATCCCGTCCTCCACCGTCTCT